TCTCTACCGCCGCGAATATTCCAGGACGCAACAATAAAGTATATAAATTCAAATTTATATTTATATAAGAATCCAATTAATGTCAGACCTTTTAGGCATATATAATGCAATATTATTTTTATCCAATTACGATTCTTAATAAAAATTTATATTATATTCATTTTAAAAATAAATTCAATAAATTATTCAATAATCTGACCTAAATATTTCTCAAAATGATATCATCATGAGAAGAAATGACAAATCCATGATAAAGACAGCTGCCTGTCAGATATCGATGACTGTCTAAAATTTACTCGCAAATAATAATCATACACAAAAGCATTATTTTTATTGATTAGTTCAATTCGATTAAAAAGTTTTAAAAAAAAGTTTCTGAGATAATTTAATAACTAAATATTCAAATGAAATTTTGCTCTGTGCTTATTTAGCCTTCTCCGATTAAGATTTTCATTATGAAATCGTATGATAATCACTCTATTTATTTCGATCTCCTTATAACAGTTTTTTTTAAACTTGGTATCCACCCGTTATCATCCTCGAAAGAGTGTTTGGCGACGTAACTAATCCTAGGCTGACCTAGAAGAGGCACCCACCCTAGAAACCTTATGACCCGCACTTGATTGAACCCCACTTAAGCGGCCCTACCGCTCGAGGGGAATCGAGCACGGATCAGAAGTTCCTAACTATACTCGCCCACCAACTAAACTAAACAACGACGAGTTCATTATAAAAGTGGAAGAGAATCTGTAATCTGTTGGAACTAATCGAACAACAACAATAATAATCACCATCATTATTAACATTAACAATAATTAATATTCCAACAATTGTCGGCCACCGCATGAAGCTCAATAACACCAAAGCACAGAAAAACTAGTTACAATCATCTGCAAATTTTCTCATTTGTTTAGAGGAAGAATCGCAAAGAAATGGTTCAACCGAAGAATCCGGTCCGACTCCAAACCGCGTCACGAACCCGGCTCATATCCCGGCCCTTGAGCGTCCGGCCGACACCTTCAAACACCGAAGTGGCCACGGCCGTCTTCCCGTGCACCCGTGCCACGTACTCATGCGGCGGGACCCACTCCTCCTCCTCCACCTCCGCCTCCGCCTCCGCCGACCCACCCATCATTCCCCACCCCGGAACGCTCACCGGCGCCGACTTCGCTGCCTCCCTAGCTGTTCGGTCGCTGCGCCGCCTGCGAAGAGTCGCTTCCTCCTCCGCCGCCTCAAAATTCAGGGAAGCTCCGCCGACATGCCTGGGGCGGTCCCAGCCACCGTTACATCGCCGAAGGCTCCATACGCCACCGCCGGCGGATGATTGGGTGCCGGTGGTCCAGATGTCGTCCTCCACGAAGTCGAGTAGATCTGAACTGGAGATGGAGCCGGTGAAGGATTCCGCAGTGGAGATTTCATCGATCGAGATTAATATAAATAATTTATATATTATATTAATTTTAAAATATACTAAAGAATTTTATATCTATCTCAAAACTCATTATATTGTCCTTCTATGTATATGTTATAAATGAAATTGTAAGAAATTCATTTTCCACTTCATTCAACAAGTCAAGTAGGAGATAACATTAGGTTTCGCACATTGAATCAAACAAATTTTATAGGTATATTGACGACAATAGAGAGATATAAAAGTTAGCATCATAACTTTGTATGAAGATTCAGAATACAAACAGATAATAAAGAGGGATGTAGTATTTATAAATAGATCAGAATTTTTATGTGAAAATCCTTAGAAAGCGGAAAAAAACTTCAGAGGTATTGCCCAATTAAAAATGATTTTACAAGTTTTGGTGGTTGATTACAAATAATGTCCTTCATCGGAGGAGAGCGTTGGCTCAAATATACATTATAGAGAGCACATAACATAGTTGGAGTTGAAAGAATTTGATGACATGGGAGCTATTCTCAAGAGAATGTTGAATATTTATTTTGTCGGTAGGAATGTAATCAGCGGGAAACAATTTGTTGAGAATGGAAGATATGAATCAACCACTTAACGGAGAATTTAATTTTCTCTTGATCGTAGATTATAGACTTATATGCAAATTAACATTTTACAAAATTATATTCAAGGCACTAACAACAAATATAATCACTGTTTATATTCTTATGATGGAAACAATTTTCATATTATGAAATTTTTCAGAAAACTTGAACAAGAACACAAAGGAATTATGTGGTTCGAGTTCTAGAGAACTCTAAGTCCACGGGGCAATCTCTATCATCTCTCTTTATTCAATATAAATGGAAGAAATAGAGAAAACACCAAACTCTCTAGAGCAATCAGCCAATACACGGCTAAAGAAATATGGCAAAACTAAAAAAATAGCTATAAAAAAATTACCACTAGCTTTAAAAGAAATGCAAGCAGAAATCATTGCTAAGACGGAACCACGAAAACATATCTATGTAAAGATCTAAAAAACCATGACAGAAATATGATTCCAATATTCCTTCTTTCTTTCCTTCTCAAAAAAAGCAAGCAAAAATAAGAGCAGCAATAATCGGATATACCAGAGAACTAAGATAAACTTCAGCCGAACACAAAACATGGATCAATCTTACTTTTGTTGACCTCGATTTTCGTATGCTTTGCACTCAATCATGTTTGATCAGTTTAACTGAGTCACAATGAGTTAGATCCAAGCCGAATCAGTACTAAACTGAACTTAATTTAATTAAAATTGCATTAATTAAATTATATTATGTTCAAATTGGCCCGAATCTAGTAGAATCTAACTCGACTACAATCAATCAATTATGATCAATTCATGTCGGTCATGTCTAGCCTGATTTTATTTTTGATTGATGTTGATTTTGGGTTCAGCTTTATATGATTAAACCCAGTGAATCTACTCGAACCCAAACTGACTCGAATTGAGTCAAATTCGGACTCGAGTCTGACCTGGTCTTAGTCAAGTTTGATTTGATTCAACCTAATGTGATTCCACTAAGGTTCATTTGGCTTTATTAGCAATTTGAATTGGTTTTCTAAATCCGGAAACGCAATCGACGGTCTTGATCTCCCCGAAATTTGAATTCTGCTACGGTCAGTGCTTCAGTCAAGTGATCACCTCCTTCATTGAATTCGTTGGGGTCTCGGATAAAGATCTGAACTACATAGTGCCGTTTTGAGCTTTCTGAGCAGAGCAGAATGTCGGGAGACGTTTAGAAGGCATGAACGAAGCCTTCGGCTCCCCCATGGGCACTCTCTCTCTCTCTCTCTCTCTCTCTCTCTCTCTCTCTCTCTCTCTCTCTCTCTCTCATTCTCCCGATTCGCACCCGCTCCCCTCTCCCCCGTCTCCCTTTGGTTCGCAGAAGCCTAGAGGCCGAAGACCACCTTCCTCCCTCTGTCTCTCTTCTGTTCGGACCAAATTAGGAGGTGGAACCCGGCTCCCTCTCTCGACTTCTCTGGGTTCGCAAGGCACCCGAGCCCCGATCTCCCTTCTTCGAACTAAATCCCTACCCCCGGCTCCCTCTCTCTCGGGATCTCTCTCTATTTTATGGACACTAAAGCCAAAACTCGAGCTCCTCCCTCCTCTTGCCTTCAGTTCACTCCAACCCAGGAGGTCTGACGCTGAGACTCGTCCGACTTTAGGCAATCTTCTCCCCATTCGTGGGACCGGAAGACCTGCCACGGCTCTCTCTCGGCGATGGATCCACCCTGTTCGCTCTTCTCTGTTCATGAGCCAGTCAACGTCGAGCCCTCTTCCTCTCTCGGTTTCTCTCGCTTAGATCGAACCCGGCTTCGTTCTACCCTAGCCGACCGTCAGCTTCCCCTCTCGAATAGCTAGGCAGGTAACTACTTCCCTTCTTCTTCCTCTTCCTCTTCTTCTTCTTCCCCTATACTCTCTTTTCTTCCTCCACTTCCTTTTATTTTCTTCCAGATTGGCGAATGAAAAGAATGGTTAAAAAAAAAAAAAAAAAATCATAGAAGCGATATTCTCTTTTCTATGTGATTGTTTTTACTCTCTAAGATTAATGCGATGATAGTTTATAATGGCCATGATTGAATGATTGGCTTGCAAGATAGAGATGTGCAAAACTTATTCTTCTCTGTTACAATGAATCTTTTGCAGTTTTGTGAACGGAACATTCCTTATTTTCTACTTATTTCATTTAGGAAGATAATCTATGTGATTCTACAAGATATGAATATTCTTTATGGTGAGGTTTATGATGTTGGAGTTATGGGATTGCGATTATAAGTGATATATGTCTATTTACACATTTATGTAATTTTTCATTATCTGAGTTGGCACTTTATGATTGGTAGAACCATGCTCTGTTTTCCATAAATAAGACCCATAGGCTATAATAGTAGGACAAGAAATAATATGCTTTCTTTACTTCTCATTTTTGTACGCTTCTCTGCTTCTCTTCTTGAAGTTCTGCATACCCGCTAGTTTCAACACAGAGATCTAGTTTCTTCATGGTATCAGAGCAGGTCGTCAATGGCGAACTCTGCAACTTCAGAAAACAGAGCATGGTTCTACCAATCATAAAGTGCCAACTCAGATAATGGAAAATTACATAAATGTGTAAATAGACATATATCACTTCTCAAAAGGCTGCTAAGATACATCAAAGGTACGCTTTCTTACGGTCTTCCTATTTCCAAATCTAATCTCAATTCAACTTCCTTTTCAAATGCGGACTGGGCTGGCGTTCCTCTATCTCGGAGATCAACATCAGGCTATTGCTCATTTCTTGGAACCACCCTCATCAACTGGACGGTCCGCAAGCAGCACACTGTAGCCCGTTCGTCCACGGAGTCAGAATATCGAGCACTGGCTTCTCTCACGGCGGATGTACTTTGGCTTCGACGATTGCTGCAGGATTTCGGCATATCACAGCAAGCTCCTACCACTATGTATTGTGACAACACTTCGGCCATAGCCTTGGCCAACAACCCAGTGTTTCATGCTCGTACGAAGCATATAGAAATTGACCAAAACTTTATTAGGGAACATATACAAAACAACACGGTTCGATTATTACCCATATCCACCACAGATCAGGTGGCAGATATATTTACCAAATCATTACCGACTCCACGATTCCAACAACTTCGTAACAAACTTACGGTCACCACCGATCCGTCAGTTTGCAGGGGCATATAAGTGATATATGTCTATTTACACATTTATGTAATTTTCCATTATCTGAGTTGGCACTTTATGATTGGTAGAACCATGCTCTGTTTTCCATAAATAAGACCCATAGGCTGTAATAGTAGGACAAGAAATAATATTCTTTCTTTACTTCTCATTTCTGTACGCTTCTCTGCTTCTCTTCTTGAAGTTCTGCATACCCGCTAGTTTCAACACGGAGATCTAGTTTCTTCAGCGATCATGTTAAAGAAATTGTCCTGGTATCATGTTTTCTTTGCTATTGAAGGGATCATTTGTTTTTGAGCTTTGGAAGCTTAGCATTTTGTATAGTTTTGCTCTTGGTTTGATGTTGGCAATATGAGATTCAAGCTCAAAGACATGTTCACTCATGGTATAATCAAAGACTTGAAATGCTATCGTCCCACCTCTTTTATTTTGAAGTATGGTTATTATTTCCTAAAAGATAGAATGTTTGGAGTTATTGAAATTCTGCGTAGCATTTTGATATTTGGGTTTCCAATACATCTTTTGTCACTATTTGAGATGTGTGAAGTTTTGTAGTATTTTTGTTCTTCTACAAGATTTCAGAAGTATGTTTTTGTGGAGCCTATTGGGGGGGGATCGTATCATATGATGTTAAATTGGTTGTTGGTATTTTGATAAAGTAATTTTGAATAGCCCTATGTTTAGATCATAATAGTAGTTCTACCATAGTTTGCTTGGTGCATGTGATGGATTGGGAAGCTTATTGTCCAAAGTGGCACCATGGGTTTATGGGTTAATTGAAAATATACATCCCTAAGGTTTTCTTTCTTCAATAATATGCTCATGAACGCAGTAAAGAAAAATGGGTGAATATCTTCATCATGTGAACGATATGTTGACTTTTAGTTCATTCTTCTGTCTCAAAGTAAGGAAACATTGACTATCTATAACCATACATTATAGATTCTAAAGTTGAATTCTGACTCCCATATCAAAAAGTTGCTCTACTTTCTCGCTAATTTTAGTTGTCCACTAACTCAAAATTATATATTAACTCAATATTGTTTTGACTTTTGTTCACATGTCAACTTCAATCTTCTGCTAAGTCTAGGTGACACGTCAGGTTCTAAATTGTTCAACTCTCATCATTTTAGAAAACAGGTTAGTATAATACAATCCAATTATCATAATAGATTCTAATTAATATATATATATATATATATATA